AGGAGGAGCAACGGGCAAAGGGCCCCCCACCCCGTAACCACAACAGCAAGAGACGCACTCACCTGCCCGATGGTATTTGCTGGCTCTCAGGACCAGGTCGGACACTGGGCCCCCACTGAATACCACAGAGCCATCTTCTAATACCTCCTGCACTATGAGGTCGAGAATCATTCCCGGGATCATCTCGGCCAGTGTCCGGATCAACACAGAGTCTGCAGAGGCCCAAAAGATGCACAGATTAGTACCCCAAGACACACTCTCCATGCTCCATTCCTCCAGAAGTGTGCCGTCGCCGTGGACAAAGGTGGAGCACTGGAACCACGGACAAGGCAAAACCACCAGTTGCCACAATGCCTAGTACCCATAAACGCTCTTGTGACAGGCGGAGACCTTTGCCCTCTGCCAACCTGACCATAATTTATTAAAACAGCCAACAAACACCAGGAACGTAGGCTTCCTTTTAGTTTCTCAACTTCTGTTCTCCCCTCTTAACCCTCATGTCCCCAAATCCCATTAGGATTCCAAAATCCTACACAATGGTTCGAAGTCTAAAAGGGTCAGAATTGTAACCCCTCAGCAAGTCTAGCAGGTCCCTGCTCCATTTTATCACCCGCTACAGATTTCCTGAATAAAGGTATGACAAGCGAAGAGGTGAGAGGAACATGTTTATTCTGGCCTCACGGGGGACAAGCTGTGCAGGGATACCTGTAATGTCCCTTATCTTAATCTGGGTGGCCAGCAAGAAAGTCCATTTTATAAATGCATGCTGAGCTGTACACTCCACAATTCATGTGCTTTATCTAGGTTGTATTTCCATTAGAAAAGAGTTTACTCATTTTTTTTAATGATCTAGGAAGCCCAACAACTCATCCTGACAGTAAATGTAATTTACAACACACATACACACTCCCACTCGACCCACCCTCTCCCCCTCCAGCCCCCACCAGCCCCGGCCCCAGGCAGTCCTACCTCGGCTGCCCATGAGGCTGCGCACCCCCTGCCGCTCCTCCAGGCACTGGCTCAGGAGCAGGAGGCTAGTGGCTTGGTCCCCCAGACTGCAGTCGGACAGTCGCAGGGACAGCAGCATTCGCTGCTTCCCCTCGTCCACGTTGGTCACCTTTGCAACAACTGTCTGCCCCTCTACGAAATGGTCACTGGTGGAGGTCACAAATTTGTCACTTATAATCTGAAGGGAAGATTGGACAGAAAATGGGGAAAGGAAAGCGTCTTCATTAAAACAACCCACTTCATGTGCATAGAACAGGGTGTGTGGTGGGGACACAGGGCCCGGGAAGTTCTCCTCAGCATGCTGAGCACAGTTCAACTCCCCTTCCATCAAAGTGGAGAGGCCCTGGCTACCCATCCCAGCCTTCTGCGAGAGTGCCCAGCAGAGAAGGCACATTACTGGCAAGCCAAAGGAGTACCAGGGCTGCCCCAGTCTCTAATACCCAACGCAAGCCCTCTGCCTCCCACTATGCATGTTTCCGGGGCCTTCCCCTGTTCCCATTTTTTCACATTTTTCTGGAAGAAGACACAAATGAGAATTTCCCAGGCAAAACACCAGGGAGACAGTCCTATGGAAGGAAAGTGACACGTGGATGACCTGTGGCAGGAGGCAGCTGTGTGCCACTTGCTTAGTGGCGTCTTACAGACTTTCTGGCACTTTGAAAACCACAGAAGGCAGCAAAACCCACCCCCGACTGCTTAGGAAAACCAATCGCCAAGTCTAAACATGCCAGGGGAACAAGAACTGGCTCAGCCACCTTCACACTGGGGACGGAAGTCTCTGGGGCCACCACCCATCTACCCAAGGCTGCAAGGTGACGTAGAAAAGGTGCCCCTTCCCCAGGAGGTCACACAGCTAGACAAGAGGAGCCAGGCCCTGATCTCAGTCCCACGTACCCCTCTGCCAGCTGCCTTTATGCCATGCACAGCCTGGGTGGTGTGCCTGGAAATGTTCCAGAATACCAAGGAGTTCTGCCCCCACCCCAGTCCCACAACCCTGCTGTCTCTCCTCAAAGGCCCTAGTGCACGAAGCTGAACTCACAGCTTTGGGAGCCAGTCCACTCAGACCCGAGGGGAACTGGACGAACACCCCGTAGTCCTTGATGCTCTTCACGAAACCAATGAGGAGCATTCCAGGCTGGATTTCTGAGAAGGTCTTGGGATCCTGGCCACCTTCCACTGTGGAAACCAAAGCTGGCTTCCTGCAAAGAAGCTAGTGGCACTTCATCAAGGAATGTTCCGGAAAGGGCAGATGAATGTCCACCTCTCCTCCCCCCTTTCTGCACAGACTGCCGGCTGACCCTCCACCACTACAGTGGTTCTCTGGGCGAACCATATCAGCACCATCATCACCTGGAAGTCGGGAAAAACCCAGGTTCTAAAGTACTTCCCTGACTGACCGAATTGGAAACTGCGTGGGACCAGCCACTGTGTCTTCACAAGCCCTCCCAGGGATTCTGATACACAGTAAGTTTGAGAATCACACATATATATAGTGTATTTTACATTTCTCTCTCTCTCTCTCTCTCTCTTTTTTTTTGTTCCAGGAGGGTGCATGCACTCACCAGCGAGAGACAGAGGGAGAAGACAAAGTACCCCCCATGGAGCACAGTCATGCCCCAATCCCTTCTCTCTTTCTCCCTCCTCTCAGGATTCTGGCACACAAGCTCGTGTGCCTGGAGGGCTTCTCATGTGGCTGGGTCTGGGACTCAAACTGCAGGGTCTGCTAAGCCAGATCCGGCTGCCTCAACCACCAGGCCATGGATCTGGCCCTGATTTTTTTTTTTCTCATGAGGTTTCTATCTGAGGAGTAGAGGTTGGTCCAGAATTTCCCACCTAAAGGGCCACTGCTCCCCACCTCCCACTGCCCGACACACACTGGTCAAGGATACCACCCGTCCCTCGCTCTGGCTCAGACATAGGACTCGGTGAAGGGTGTCGCCAGCCTGGAGCCAGTGACACAACAGTGGGCCGTTGGCGACGTGGTCTGACAGGTGAGGTGTGGGGAGGAAGGCTGGGAGGTGGTAAGGCAGGACAGTCACTTGCAGCCCATCTTTGGTCTTCTCTGAAACTTTCACGTCCACCAACTACTCAGGGAAGAGAAAGAAAACACACTCGTGTGGGCAGACAGCAACCGAGTCTGGGCCAGGCAGAGTCCACAAGCATCGAACTTAGCATGGCAGGGCTCTGAGAGGCCAAGAGCAGAGAAGTGGCTTTCCGCAAGACCCCACTCTCCCACCCCAGCACTCCAGCAGACATGCAGCACGTGCACACACACACACACACACACACACACACACACACTCCAGGACTATCTGTGAGCTCTTAACCCTCCTCCTCAAGGTCCCCCGGGTCCTGGAGGACAGGCAGGACTGCAGGCTGGCCCGGGGCCAGAGGGCAGAGAGGGCAGCAGGAAAGCCACGCTGCAACAGCACGCCCTTCATAGCAGCTTCCATCTGCTCTGGCACCAGGACAGGACCTACGTGAGGTTCTCTCTCGTGAACCCTCAACTCCAGAACCTCATCCAGCCACCTCAGTCATCTCCCTCTGTGGGCTTCAGTACCCCAATTATCAGGGGCACCACTCTCTGCCACTACAAAACAAAACCACTTGTTTGAGAAGTCCAGATACCTCCCCAATGTTCACGGATCTTCCTTTCTTCTGACTGTGTCCTGCTCGCTCTGCTTCCAGACCACTGGACAGCTTGAAGGATAGGAGCATCCTCTCCTTGGCTGGCTCACAGTTCAGCACCACGACCTTCACGACCTGGGGAGAAACCATGTGTGCTTGGCTCGCTCCTGCTCCCAGGAGGCCTGGTGGGCTCTGGTGAGGTGCCCTCTCCTAGTACTGCAGGGCCCATTTGAGCTGCCCTATCCCTGGATGAGGTCAGAAGGCAGTGAAAAGAACTATACCAAGAGCACCCACAGACTCTCCAAAAGTAGGCCTCTTAGGAGAAAGGAAGACAAAAGTAATTACTTGGTAAACCCCAAGTTTTAAAAAGTCAGTCTTCCCAGGGCCAGCAGGTGACGTGGTAGTTTCTCCCACATGGCTGACTTTAGTTCAAGTCCCAGATCCAGTGGCTTGAAAATCATGCCAGGCACAAGTGCATGAGTGCCCAGAACCCCAAGAGAATGGAGAAGGGACTGCAGCATGGCCATCCCCTTTAGGGGTGATTTCTCACTTTCCCTCTCTCTGCCTGTCTCTCTCTGGTGAGCAGACATGTCCTATGGCAAAAACCTAAAAAAAAAAATAAATATTGATACTGTCCCAGATAGATGTACTCCCTGATTTCACAATGCCGCCTCCCTGTGGTGACAGAGGCCTCAGAACAATTTCTAATGTGAAGGATATCATTTTATCATAAAGATTCGTGTTGGAGGTCGTGCACCTAATGTCTATGGTTGGCCAGCTTCTGCTGAGCCCCTCAGTTTACATCTGTTCCCCACCTCCTCTCAGACCCACTGCGCCACATGGCCTTGCTCAGGCTCTTTTTTTTTTTTTTTGAGAGATTTTCACTGTAGGGCGCGTGCGCTCGCCAGACAGAGAGAGACATAGAGACAGAAAGCGAGAAATCACCCCCCAGGGGGGATGGCCACGCCGCAATCCCTTCTCCTCCATTCTCCTCTCAGGATCTTGGGCACGCACGCACACGCGCCCGGCATGAGTTTTAAGCCATCGGGTCCGGGACACGAACCACGGTCAACTACGTGGGAGTCCAGCGACATAGCCATTACGCTAACTGCTGGTTCCCAGCCTTGCTCAGGCTCTTAAGCCTCCTTCAAATCCGTGTTCACAGGGCCACCAAGGGTAGCAGGCCTGTCCAGGGGAGGGTTACCTGGCCAGTGTAAAAGAACCTCTCTGGGTCAGGGATGTACTCGGTACTGAGCTCATGCCTGGGCACCAGCCCCTGGACGTTGCTGTAGAACTTCACGATGCAGCCATAGTCCTTGACCCTGAAGACGAAGCCATGTGTCTGCAGACCAGGCTTGGCATCAGCATAGCAGGTAATGGTAGGCAGAGTGGACTCAACCAGGGTTTTCTTGAGCGTCATCATTAGCCTCTTGGCTTCAGGGTCACAAAGCAAAACCTAGAGGAGGAAGAGTGACCATAATTAAGTTACCTGTTACCAAGGGAGCCACAGGGTTGATCTCTGCAAAGGTCAGAGATCACTGCCCAGAAACCTGCTATCTCTTTTCCTCTCATAATCTAATCCTTCCTGCTTCCTGCTGGATAACAATTTAGAGAGTACTAATATCTATTTTGAATGTACTTCTGTAAGTTGGTACAAACTACCCCCTCCTGGTCATGCAGTACTCATTACCTTCTAGTACCCCACAGGGTCTGTTACAGTAACTGCTGCCCTGCCTTGGCTTCCCTCAGGGGGCCTTGCGTCTAGACTAACAGAATGAACGACTGACCCCATTTACAGCCTCGGCACTATGGTTCCTTACTGTAAACGAAGACTGAGAGATCGGCCATATCTCGTCCCTCAGAAGATCATCTCTTGAGGGCAAAGAAACTCTTTTTCTTTTTTTGGAGAGGTTTTCGCTATAAGGCGCATGCGCTTGCCAGACAGAGAGAGACACAGAGACAGAAAACGAGAAATCACCCCCCAGGGGGGATGGCCACGCCGCAATCCCTTCTCCTCCATTCTCTTCTCGGGATCTTGGGCACGCACGCACACGCGCCCGGCATGAGTTTTAAGCCACCGGGTCCAGGACTCGAATTGCGGACAACTACATGGGAGTCCAGCAACATAGCCATTACGCTAACTGCTGGTCCCAAGAAACTCCTCTTTTCTACACCTCAATCCCTCTACTGTGAAATCTGCCAATGGGCAATCAAGACCTTTCTTGACTCAATGATGATGAAAGAAAATGAATACAGAAAACCCAGCATACACATACCCAGGCAAAGTACCCTGTGTCGTCACACTCTCACAGCCATTGGGAGGCTCCCTTGGGACTCAAGCCTTTGTCATAAACACATCTGCATCCTGGCAGCTTTGTCTGGACTATTTTTGTGCCCAGAGCACATTTACTCCTCTTCAACTTTCTAACTCGTTCCTACCCTTCCTGGCTCAAGTCTTGCCTCTGCCAGAAATCCAAAAGACATTCGTGTGTGTTAAAGCTGAATTTGAAACTGGGGCTACCATTTATTACTGTGTGACTTTTGGCAAGATAATTGGTTTTCCGGAACCAGCAGTTAGCATAATGGCTATGTTGCTGGACTCCCATGTAGTCAACCGTGGTTCGCGTCTTGGACCCCGTGGTTTAAACTCACAACAGGCACATGTGCATGTGTGCCCAAGATCCTGAGAGGAGAATGGAGGAGCAGGGATTGTTGCGTGGTGGCCATCCCCCCGGGGGGTGATTTCTCGCTTTCTATCTCTCTGTCTCTCTCTTTCGGGCGAGCACATGCGCCCTATAGCAAAAATCTCTCTCTCTCAAAAAAAAAAAAAAAAGATAATTGGCTTTCCTATTTTTTTCCCCAAGAATCTATTTAATTTTATTTATTCATTCATTTATTTTCATTTGACCAGAAACAGGCAGACAAAGAGAAAGTGAGAAAGCAAGTCACCAGGTCCAAGACTCAAACCATGGTCAGCCATGTGGGAGTGTCTAGTGCCTTAACCACCATGCCACCTGCTGGGTGCCGATAATTAGCATTCCTAAGTTTTCACTTCCTCAGCAAAATGAGGCCAACAGTAGTTACTTTACAGGGTTATTTTCAGAATATGGTACATGGCAGTTGCTACTGAGAGCATCAATGTGTTAAGGCTTGAACCATGTTTTGTCCCCCAAAATTTAATGTGGTAGAATCTGGTCTTAGTGGGTGGTGGCTGGATGGCCTCCAAAGGTCCATGTGTTGGGACTTGATTGTATTATAAAGTTTTTTTTTTTTTTAATTTATTCATTTTTAAAGAAAGAATCCAGTGACGTAACCATTATGCCATCTGCTGGCCCCAGTAATATGAAGGTTATTAAGTGAAACATAATTCCTTCCTGGTACCCCAGCGTGAGGCCTATGAGTGTGATGTCACTGGAAGCGCACCTCCATGACTAGGTTCTGGAGGGCACGTAAGAAAGGGAATGAGACCAGAACAGCAGAGAAAAGCTACACGGACACAGTCCACGTCCTGCTCTGCTAAAAGCTGCCTTCTGCCATTCTGTGATAGCTTTGGGACTGTCTAGCTGCCAAAGCCATGAGTTATTAGACTTTGTTTCTTCGTAACTCAGCAGCCTCAGGTATTCCTGTTAACACCACAGAAACGGACTACAACCTAACAATTCTAGCTGCTCCAGCTCACCCTCACCTCCCGTTTCTGACAGGACAACGGCACGTTACCCGTGCCAAATTATGTGGCAAAAGGCTATGTGCTGGTCTGCCCTTTCTCCACTTATAGACAGTAACTCCCAATTATCCCACAGGATTCTCAAAGACAGTGACTTTTTTCTTCCCAATTTTGGCCACAGCACTGGACACACTACAGATATGACATGTTCACTTTGTGGAAAATGGCAGAAACTTCAGCTGAGAAAGACGACCCTTCCCATCTAGTCAAACCCTACCCTTCAGCAGACTCACCCGGCATTTGACCTCATCCCCAACACGGTACTTCTTCTCTGGATTCTTCATCAGGATATCAGCCAGGTGCATGGGGGGTACCAGGCCCCTCATCTGCTCGCCCACCTTCACCAGCATCCCATACGGCTTTATGGTCAGCACTTTGCCCTAGGGAGTCCAAGCAAAGAAGTCACTGTGCCTCACGAACAGCCTTCCCTCTGTCTCTCACCATGGGCATGGCACACTTCTCTTTCAAAGCCCACCTTCCTGGGCTAACTGTGCCTGTTATTCCAGTTCTCACGTGGGCACAACACACCTCCGCATGGATCTAGGTTTCTTTTTTTTTGAGACAGGGTCTATGTTGCTCAAGCTGACCTCAAATGTGTGATCCTTCTGCCTCAGCCTCCCAAGTAGCTAGGATTACAGGTGTGTGTCACTGGGCCCAGCCTGATCTGGATTTAGGCCAGTTTTCTTCTAAGAACCGTTGCATCTCTTCTGTGAGTACATACTACCTGCCTGCCTATGGGAGGGGACGCTGTCTCCTAAGGAATAAACTGTACACAGGAAGGGGAGTGTCTCAATGACACCTGAGCACTTAGAGAGGCAGCGACTGTGCTATCTTCACTAATATCCCAGCAGCTCGATCATCACAAAAGTAACTTTTGATCTGGTCTAATAACCACCACACTAGAACTGATGATCTACTGCCTCTGCCTGCGGGGTGGTACTAGTAAGACCTGCACAAATTACCCAGTGGAAGGCAAAGAAATTCTAGCCAGCAGGCAGAGACAAGAAAGATGACTTTAAATGTGTTAACATGAGGACTGAGTTGACAGTTAAACTGTGAACTAGGGTCCCTGAAGGTGAGGGAGTACCTAGCGATATGTCTGAGGTCTTACCTTTACCACTGCCCCAGGTTTGATGTCATGGTATCTAAGGTACTGTGCTTCAATAACAGACCTGGGGCAAAAGAAAAATGCAGGAGTAACTACACCAGGGCAGAGGCTGCCTAAGAGTCAGGGCTGCCACCATCATGCTAGAATGGAGATCCCACCATGCAAGGCCAGGAGAAACCAACAGTGCACACAGACAGCACACCTCTGCCCCGACACACGTTAACACAGACTTACGTTCGCAGGGAGAGCAAGGGCAGGCCGTCCATCTGGCTGTAGTCAATGACTCTACACTTGTGAGTGTTCCCAGGCTTGAAGGCCTCAGGATTGAAGAGGTTCTTAGAATCAGAGAGATGGTTGAGCTGCAAAGCATCAAGGGATTAAGGGGAAGCCAGAGACAGCCGACCTGAGCCAACCACACTCCACAGCACACCAAGATGACTCAACCTGTTTGTCCCCCACTATAGAGACAGGACTCTGATTGCTAGCTAAAACAATTCCTCTTGGGGCCAGCAGGTGGCGAGGTGGGTAAGGCACTGGACTCCCATATGGGAGGCCACGGTCTGAGTGTCATACCTGGAAATTTGTTTTCTTGCTTTCCCTCTCTCTCTGTCTCTCCCTGGTCAAATTAAAATAAATGAATGAATGAATGAGGGGGCCGACAGGTGGCATGGTGGCTGAAGCACTGGACTCCCACATAGCTGACCATGGTTCAAGTCCTGGACCTGGTAGTTTGCTTTCTCACTTTCCCTCTCTATACCTCTCTCTCTCAGTCTCTCTCTGTGAGCCCATGTATAATTAAGAAAAAAATTAAAAATAATTAAACTTTTTAAATATATATTCTCTCAAATAAAAAATAAAAGAAAAAAAAAAGATAAAGAAAAACTTTTCTGATCCTTGGTCTAGATCCTAACTCATACTTACCACTGGTCAGGTACCAACTGTGGCAAGTTGGCTCTAAGGCATTCCAATATAACAAACAGACACAGTTCTAATCTCTGTGTACATCCAAATGTAAAAAACTAGTACGAAGGCATGAAAGGCACAGAAGAAAACCTGTGTAGCCAGAGATCTTCCAGTGACAAGATCCCTGACCAAACGAAACAGCCTCCTCACCCGGGCGTAGGCCAGAACGCCATTCTTCAGTCTGAAGGTGGCCCCAGCCTTGCTGAAGAAACCCTGGACAGGAACGTCATTCAGCACGGCTCCAAGATTCTGGCAAGAGACCTGAGTGAGTGGACGCCCAGGCTGCAGGAAGACGGGGTGCAGGCTCAGACGCACAACTCTGGTCCGAGGATGGACACAGAGGATGCAGGCTCTCACCTAGGTAAAAGCAAGGGCAGAATGAGTAAGAGACACACAGGAGGCAACTTACAGCAGCCCTTCTGAGGGTCGAGACCCCACCACGTGCCAACCAGGTGAAAACGGAAATCTTCAGTACATACGTACTAACACTGGCTGTGGAACAGACAGTACATGGAACAGTCAAACAAAATGCCCCAAGTCTGACAAGTCAAGGCTTACTCAAGGCCAGGAAAACAAACCAGGAATGTCCTCCCAGGAGGCTAATGTGCTAAGGTACGTACAACAGAAACCATCTACTAGTGTCATCACATCAAAGACTCATCTGATACAAGCCAGAAATAGCCTGATCTGATTATAAGGTTAGAACACATAAAATACCTCAACTCTGCACACAACCTTTCTGAGGTTTGCCAAAATGCAAACAGTATTATTACCAGGTTGTAGAAAAACCTATTTTCACTTTTGAAATAATTCTTCTATAGTATCCATAAGCTATATGGATATGTGGAGGTTAAGGCAGCTGAATCCCACATGGCCAACTCTGAGGTTCACATCTAGGACTTGGCAGCTTGAAAATCAGGTCAGGTACCTGTGCGTGCGTGCTCAAAGTCCCGAGAGAACAGAGAAGGGATATGGCCACCTCCATAGGAGTGATTTCTCGCTTTCTTTCTGTCTCTCTCTCTCTCTGGTGAGGGCACACGCCCTATAGCAAATTAAAAAAAAAACACCACACAAAAAAAAAAAAAAAAAAAAAAAAAAAAAAAAAAAAAAAGAGAAGAGATCATTTTAGGATAAAAAATAATTCTGTATGCAGAATGGAAAACGCCAGAATCAAATGACTGTATATTACATGATTCCATTTATAAGACCTTTTTTGGGGGGGAGGTTTTTGCTATAGGGCGCACGCGCTTACCAGAAAGACAGAGAAACAGAAAGCAAGAAATCACCCCCCAATGGGGATGGCCACGCTGCAATCCCTTTTCATTCATTCTTCTCTCAGGATCTTGGCACGCATGCACATGCACTCGGCGTGAGTTTAAGCCACTGGGTCCGGAATTTGAACCATGATCGACTACATGGGAATCCAGCAACACAGCCATTACGCCAACTGCTGGTCCCTATAAGACATTTTTGAAACAACAACAGAAATGAAGATTGGTGGTTGATGGTGGCTAAGTAGAGAACTGGGAGAGAAAGGAAGTAGGTCTGACTACAAAAGATCAACATGAGGGATCCTTGCAGCGACAGAACATGCTCCATATCTAACTGTAACAATGTCAGTGTTTCTGCTATAATGTCGCACTATGGTTTTGCAAGAAGGTACCATTGGGGAAAGGTAAAGTGAAGAGCACATCAGATCCCTGTGCATCATGTCGTACAAGCCCATGTGAATCTACAATGACTGCAAAATTAAAAGCTTAATCAAAAAAGAAAAAAATTCTAAATGACACACTGGAATTTTCTTCCCAAATAAACAAGTTCACTATAGAAAATTTTAATATTTAAATAAAGGTAGAAAAATTAGAGTTAATCACTTATTAACATTTGACTCTATAATATTTCAGTGTTTTAACCAGGTATACTCTTTTTTTGTTCAAAATTGGATCTATACTATTTAAAAAAAAACTTTTAAACCACATTTTTCTATGTAAATCTAATACATTATTCTACATGATAAAATTCCTCTAAAACACATTAAGCTATAAAAGCACAAGATTTGCTACCAAAAAAGAAAAAAAAAAAAATCAAACTATGTGGAGAACAGGAAGTAAATCCGCAAGGCGCCTTCTCTACCTGCTCCTTCATTCTGATCTCAGTCCAACCATTTCTTGGGTTCCTTCCTAACACTTTTTCTCATCCCTTCCACTCCACTCTGCACCCCTGCACACATGCAGTCCTAGGGCCTGCCCTGTAGCTAACTGTGATACCAGACAGAATGGAACACAGATCAAGAAATGATAAGTGCATGACTGCTTACGGGTTGGTTTGAGAAATACGTCCCGGCTTTCTTGGGCTCCAGATGCATGAAGTCAACCAGGCCGGTGAAGAATGTGAGGAAACTCAGTGTAAGGCCAAACGGAGTTACCTAGAAATCAACAGAACAAGTTACAAAAGACAGCTGTGCCAGCCTATGGGCTGGAGGTTCAGGTGGCTGGATCCCACATGGCCCGCTGGGTGGTTACAGTACAGAATTCAGAGGCTGGGAAAGCAGGCTGGGTGGCATGTGTGTGTATGTCCAAAATCCCAGCAGGTGGAGCGGTGGTTAAGGGCGCTGGACTCCCACGTGGACGACCACGGTTCAAGTGCCTGACCTGGTGGCTTGCTTTCTCACTTTTCCCCTCTCTTTCTCTCTTTCTCATGCTATCCCTCTCTGGTTAAATTAAAATAAATAAATAAATAAATAAAGTTCAATAAAAGGACTTAAAAATAAATAAATAAACGAAATAATAGAATTCAGGCCAGGCACATGTGCCACATGTGCCCAGAATCTTGAGAAAAGAATGGAGAAGGGACTGTGGTGTGGCCATCCTCCCTGGGGGGTGATTTCTCACTTTCTATCTCTCTGTCTCTGTCTCTCCAGCAAACACACATGCCATATAGCAAAAATTTCTCTTAAAAAAAAAAAAAAAAGGCATAGATTTCAATTTTTTTTTTTCTTTTCTTTTTAACCATAGGGCACATGTACTTGCTGGAGAGACAGCAACAGTGAGACAAAAGGTGACAGAAGGTGACAGAAGGTGAGAAACCGCCATTCTCCGGAGGGAGAATGACCAATGCTGCGATCTCGTCTCCTCTATTCTCTTCCTGGGATTTTAGGCATGCACACATGACTTTCAAACTGCCTGATCCAGGACCTGAACCTCAGTCAGCCGTGTGGGAGTCCAGTGCCTTAACTGCTATGTCACTGCTGGCACCTCAAAATTTTTTATACCAAAATAAACTCGTACTTTGATTCTGTTTTTTTTTTTTTTTTCTCCTGAAGCATTATGAAATCTCCTCATAAATGCTGCAACAAGGATGAACCTTGAAAACATCAGGCTAAATGCAACAAATCAGATAAGAAAACCTACATATTATTTGACTCAATTTATATGAAATGTGCAAACAGGCAAAAAGATAAAGCAGATTAGCGGTGGCCAGGGACTCAAGAGAGGGAAGAATACAGAATGGAGCGATCACTAATGGGTACAAAGGTTTACTGGAGTGACAGAAAGCTCTGATGAAACAGTGGTGATAGCTACACAACTATGTGACGACACTAAAAACAACTCACTGAACTGTATACTGCGTGTATTCAACAGGAGTGATCCTTATGATGTATGAATTACATGTAGATGTTTTAGAATCTTTCGAATAGTACATAAAACCTGCCTAGAACCGAAAGGCCTATACCTTGGGAGTTCAGGAGAAACAAATGAAGAGATTCACACCAAAGCACATCGTCATGACATTTTAGAATGAAAAGGATAAAGACAAGACCTTTGAACTCTCCAAAAGAGAAACGACAAACACACAAGAAGAGAAATCAAAATAACGTGAACAGAGGCCAATGGGAACAATGACTTCAAAACTGAATCGGTTATCTTAGAGAAATCTAATCCCTCATCCTTAACTACCAATCACATGGGAAAGTGCTTTTATTTTCTTTCAGATATGCCAGGTGTGGAGAAGAGCTATCACAGCATGCCTGAGATGGCAGCCCTTAGAAAAACCTGCTTGCAAGGCTGGTCCTTGGGTGGTGCCTGAGAACTTAGACTTTGGGTGGGTTCCCACCACTATGAGAACTGAACCTATTGATCAACCCAAGAAAAGCCTCTGGACACTGACTTTCTAATGAGCTCCCTAGAAAATGACACCCCATATTTGTTATCAAATATGGGAAGAATCAAGCACATCCTTTGTGATCCACTGAGAGAGGACTCTTAGAAGCTTGTGCCTAGGGGAACAGCAGTTGGTGGAATGGCTATGTCGTTGGACTCCCACGTAGTCGACTGCTATTTGAGTCCTCACCGGGTGTGTGTGCGTGCGTGCTCAAGATCCCGAGAGGAGAATGGAGGAGAAGGGATTGCAGCATGGCCGTCGCTTTCTGTCTCTCTGTCTCTGTCTATTTTTCTGGTGAGCGCACATGCCCTATAGCAAAAAACTCTCAAAAAAAAAAAAAAAAGGCATTATTTAGCTTTATTATTATTCATTTTAATTTGCCTGGAGAAGGAAAGTGAGAAAGCATGTCACCAGGTGTGGGACTGGAACTGTGGTTGGTCATGTGGGAGTCCAGCGCCCTTACCCACATCACCTGTCAGCCCCCCATGTACTTTCTTGAAGGTGCTTCTGGCTAATGCGCCACACTAAAATGAGGGAGTAGTGAAAAAAAAGAGGAATGCATACGATCAGGCGGCTCCACTACAGGCAAGACAGAGAAGTGAAGTGAAGTCCTAGGACGTCAGCTATGCCAGAGCCCCACAGAGGCTCCAGGTCCAGGCCCAGGTCCAGAACGGAGCAGATGATGGCAAAAAAGGCCCCAGGTGGGGGAAATTAAAAATCAAATATTTGAAAGCAAAGTGAGGGGCTGGCAGGTGGCATGGTGGTGAAGGGCACTAGACTTCCACATGCCCAACTGAGTCCCGGACCTGGTGGCTTGCTTTCTCACTTCCCTTCTCTCTCTCCTCCCTCATTTCTGGTCAAATTTAAATTAATTAATTAAATAAAGTTAAATTAAATAATTCTTAAAATAAAAGAAGGGAGAGGAAAATAAATAGAAGGTATAGAAGTTAAATTAAATAATTCTTAAAATAAAAGAAAAAGGGAGAGGAAAACAAATAGAAGGTATAGGAAGAAATAGTGATAGGTGGAAGAAAATCTAGCAAATGATGAAAACAAAGCTGATTATCAACTTCTGGAGAAATAATCACAGTGTATTATTTAGCTCAGCAGTAAATAATAATTACATAGTCCCAATATTTTAAACGCTGAATACTGAGTTAACCAAAAATGTAACACACTTATGCTAGAAGGTTAAGGGAGAGAAAGGCAAGATTAAGAGAAAAAAGTAAGTTTATCTAACTTGATACAAAGCTTAAACTCAATACTTAAAACTGATTATAAAAAAAAAAAAGCAAGCAACACCAACAGAAGGGTATTGTTAGAAACATGGAGAGAAATTAAAAAGATAAGCTGGAAGAGTTGAAGATGGGGATCTGAAAAAAAAAGATGAGACAGTCCTACATTACGAATCTTCTTCTTTCTTTTTTCTTCTTTGAAAGTTTTGCTATAATGTGCACTCATCGGAGAGAAATAGAGAGAAGGAAAGTGAAATAGAGAAAGAAGGAAAGTGAGAAGTCATCCCACAAGGGGGGAGATGGCTACTTTGCCATGTTCTTCCTCCATTCTCCTCTAGGGATCTGGGGCACGAACACACACACCTGCCCAGCACATGTCTCAGGTCACCAGGTCTGGGACTGCAGAGCAGCCATGTGGGATCCAGCAGCGTGGGAGCCACCTGCTGGTCCCATTGCGAGGCTTGTAACACATGACCTTTTTGAATAGTACTATCTAATAGAAATATAAAACAAGCCATGTATGTAAAGCTTCCTAGCAGTCATGTTTTTACAACAACAAAGCAGCAGATGAAATCTATTACTTTTTTAAAGAGTTATTTTATTTATTTATTTATTTATTTATTTTTAGAGAGACTTTTGCTGTAGGGCACATGTGCTTGCTGGAGAGACAGAAACAAAAAAAGTGAGAAATCACCCCCCAAGAGGGATGGCCACACCATAATCCCTTCTCCTCCACTCTCCTCTTAGGATTTTGGGGATGCACGCACATACACACACCCAGCATGAGTTTCAAGCCTTTGGATCTGGGACTTGAACCACATTCAGCCATGTGGGAGTACAGTAATATAACCATTATACCCTGGACCCTCTTTAACTTTATTTATTATTATTATTATTACTATATTTTAATTTGATCAGAGACAGACAGAAAGAAAGTGAGAAAGGGAAAGTGAGAAAGCAAGCCACCATGTCTAGGACTCGAACCACAGTCGGCCATGTGCTTTAACCACCTCGCCCGTGTCAGTCCTTTAAGTTTATTTTATTTATTTATTTATTTATTTTGGAGAGATTTTTCACTATACGCATGCACTCGCCAGACAGACAGAGAGAGACAAAGAGACAGAAAGCGAGAAATCACCCCCAGGGGGAATGGTCACGCCACAATCCCTTCTCCTCCATTCTCCCCTCGGGATCTTGGGCACGCATGCACACGCGCCCGGCGTGAGTTGTTTTTTTTTTTTTCCCCAGCGTGAGTTTTAAGCCACTGGGTCCAGGACGCGAACCGTGGTCGACTACATGGGAGTCCAGCGACATAGCCATTACACTAACTGCTGGTTCCCCCTTTAAGTTTATTTTAATAAGAGTTTATTTAGCCCAATATACCCAAAATACCATTTGACAGGTGGCATCGGCCACGTTTTGAGTGCTTAATGGCCACGTGTGACTAGTGGCTAATCTACTGGACAGCAGTTTCAGATTACATGCATGCGATACTTTAATAAAAACTATTTTTGTTTTAAAAATGGCAGTAACAACGGGGCCAGCCAGGTGGCATGGTGGTTAAGGCAGCAGATCCTACATGGCCAACTGTGCAGTTTGAGTCCCAGACTCGGAAGCTTGAAAAACACATGGGCATGAGGGTGTCTGAGTCCAAAATCCCAAGAGAAAAATGGAGGGGAAGAGACAGCAGCATGGCTGTCCTCCCTTGGGTTTGATTTCTCACAGTCTTCCCCCACCACCACCCCCAAAAGGTGTGCACGCCCTCCAGCAAGTTAAAATAAACAGATGTACAGTAGTAACAACAAACGACTTACCTTCTGTACTTGGGCTTTGACCACCAGGCCTGGTAGCAAGTTATTCAGAGTCCAGTTCTGCTCCTCAGTAGCAATGGCAGCAGAAAGCTCTGAATGACCGACAGACAGACGAACAACTCCTCCGTTGCCCTTCACCTCTTCAATGACGCAGTTCAAGTACTGACCCATCTTCAGGTTAGTACCTATAAGACCAGTCCCAGCCAAAAGGAAAAATACTTCTGTAAGAATGACATTTAACTAGGCCCCAAGTAGTACCTGAAAAGGTCCACAATTAGTCAGCATTTAGTATTTCCCATACTCCCAGTTTCCAAGGGACCATTTACAAGAAGGGAATGAAGTAACTCTAACTGATGAGAAATTCAACGATCCCACAAAAAAGTAAAAAATCACAACAAATGTTGATTGAAGTGGGGAGTGGGTATGGGGGTACGGGGGAGAAGAGTCCAAATTTCAGTGGAATCTTCTAGGTGAGAAATACTGAAACCGGTCTATAGCTCTTGGCAAGCCCATGCCACTTCCTGGCCCTTCACTTATCTTCCCTTTTCTATCAGCTAGAGTTAACCATAACTACCAAAGCAATACAGCCCTCGGGGCCACCATTCTATCACGTTACTATAACCCCCACACACACCACCTGTCAGGCACCACCCCCCTACTCCCTCACCTTTGTTCTTCTGTCGGATATACTCCTGGGCCTTCTGCAGAGGCAGAAAAGCTCTGCTCCCACTGACACCAATGTCCACTAGATAGCCATGATCTTCTAGGCTCAACACGGTGCCTGTGAGCAGCTGGAGGAAGGAAGAGAAAGCATTCCCCAAACTTCTAAGTTGGAGGAAATGGGACATGTGGCAAACATCACTGCCAGCTGTGGATGTTCCACCATTAGTCTCCACACGACATCTGTAATCCCGTCCCCACTCTTAACTACAAACCGCAACCCTACGAGAGTATAAAAGGAAGATATCGACTTTAATTTCCCCAGGGCTTGAAGTGTCTTGTGGTTACCAGAGAGTAAAAAGTGTTATCTACTCTTCAACAATGAAATGACAGGGACCAGCAGATGGCATAATGGTTGTGTCGCTGGACTCCCAAATAACCAATGCTAGTTCAAATCCTGGACCTGGTGATTTAAAACTCACACCAGCTGCATGTACGTACGTGCCCAAAATCCTAAGAGGAGAATGGAGGAAAAGGGATTGCGGCGTGGCCTTTCCCCCTGGAGGATGATTTCTCACTTTCTGTCTCTGTCTCTCTGGTGAGCACACACACCCTATATCCAAAATCCCTCTTAAGAAAAAAATAAGGGGCTGGCAGGTGGCATCATGGTTGAGGGCACTGGATTCCCACATGGCCAACTATGGTTCGAATCCCAGATCTGGCAGCTTGCTTTCTCACTCCCCCCACACACACTCTGTCCCTCTCTGGTCAACTGAAATAAATAAAATAATTAAAAAAAAAAAAAAAAAAGGTAAGAAAAAAACACAATGAAATGACCAAAACTCTTGCCTGGAGATTTTTCAAAAGACAAGAAAGACTTTCATGCTATGTAAAGAGATGAAGAGCATGGCTCTGCAAGGTAACTCCCAGAACCATGCCTAAAGACAGAACCCAGAACCACCCTTGCTGCTATTTTTAGCTTTGCTATAGGGCACATGCACTCAAGTAGGAGAGACAGAGAAAGTGAGAAGTACCCCCAGGAGGATGGGAACACTGCAATCCCTTCTCCATTCTCCTCTTGGAATTTTGCGCATGTACACACATGTGCCTGGCATGTTTTTCAAGTTGTCAGGTTCAGGACTTGAACTACACAGCAAGTTCAAGTGGAATCCTACCACCTTAACTACCATGCCACTGGCAGAACCATCACTGTCTCTTTTAAGCACCTCAGAGACATCAAAAAAGTCCTTTCACCCTACTTTGTTTCATGAGAAGCAGTGTCATTCAAACCCAGCTCTGATATGATGGGGGATGGCCATGCCACAAGCCCTTCTCCTCCATTCTCCTCTCCGAATATTGGACATGTACGCGCATGTGCCTGGTTTGAGTTTAAGCCACTGGGTCTGGGACTCAAACCGTGGTCAACTACATGGGAGTCCGGCAACATAGCCATTACGCCAACTGCTGGTCCCAATATTACTGGTCTTTAGTCAGTCACTTAAACCTTTCTGAATCCATTTTCTCAGATGTATTAACACCCACCCGCCTTACAGGATGGCTATGGGAATTTCATCCAAGTGTCTAAAACAGCTCCTATCATCTAGCAGTCTCTTACAACACCAATTCTGGCAACTTCTACCCCCTTTTCCACTAAGTCCTACCAAACATTCAGGGCATTTCCCCAACTCCTCTGCTTCTAACCAAACACTGTAACGTCATATTACCCTTCCTCCTAATTATTAGAGTATGTACAGGGTGGAGTTACTGTTTTGAATATGCTGGACCTGCAGGCCCTGAGCGAGGACTACGGTCTCCTAAATTTCCACAGGACTAGACATCACGTGGTGGGCTATCCATGCATACAGACGCAGTCTAGCTGCCCTGTCGCCCTGCCTCCCGCTCTTAGGGCAGCTGCGAGCATTCCACACAAATGTCAGAAGGCTTTGAAACAGACCTCGTCTGTGAAGAAGTCTTTAAGTAGAGCGCCATGAGGAACTCCTTCCCACCATCGGCAAGTTCCCCACTAAAGCTTCCTGGAGGAGGTTTTCTTTGGCTCCCGCAAAACTTGGACTTGGCTTCCCTTTTTCCCCTCCCAGGTAATGATTAGGTTCCAGTCTACCACGTCCATTAGCATGCAAAGCACAGGTGACCTCCCACTGGGAAAAGGCCCACCCTTGTGTGGAACAGTTAGGCTGTCAGTAAAGGGTGGCCTAGGCCACACTGGGGGGGTGAGGAAGAAAGAAGGGCAGTATGCCTGCCCTCTTTACCCACCCAGATACCTACCATGCCAGGTTTCAGGGCCTCAGCGCTCAGCACACTGTTGACATTTTTGGGGTTCAGGGATAGCTTGACACTCTTTTTGCCCCTCTCTGTGATGCCCAGACTGCTCACCACACAGCGCACTAGCATCCCAGGTGAGAAAAGTTCAGGTAAGCTGAGGAGGTCCTGCATAATATAAAGAAAGACCTGATACACACACTGTCTCTGAAGCAAGACTTCACAGCCCAGTCATGGCTCAGAGGCTTCTCATCCTGACTTCAAGAACCCAAAGGAAGGGACCAGCAGTTAGCATAATGGCTATGTCGCTGGACTCCCACGTAGTCGACCGCGGTTCGAATCCCGGACCCAGTGGCTTAAAACTCACGCCGGGCACATGTGCGTGCGTGCCCAAGATCCCGAGAGAAGAATGGAGGAGAAGGGATTGTGGCGTGGCCATCCCCCCTGGGGGGTGATTTCTCGCTTTCTGTCTCTATGTCTCTCTCTGTCTGTCTGGTGAGCGCACGTGCCCTATAGCAAAAACCTCTTCAAAAAAAAAAAAAAAAAATCACCAGCGAGTTCCATTACTGATCCAGTGGTCCACCCTGAAGACCTTCTCTTTTGTGACCTTAAAAAGCACTTAACACTACTGACCACTCTTCTTTCTTTAACCATTTCCTCCCTGGCTTCCTTCATTGGTTTTCTTCTATCCCTAGCTCCTGTTTTTTTCTGACAGTAACTCTCCTATTTCACAATTAAAATAATTACTCTAGACTCTGCCTTTTCCTTTACTTTTTTTTGTTTGTTTGTTTATTTTTATAAACATGTCCTCCTGACATAGCTTCCTGAGAAGCTGGGACTACGGGTGTGCGCCAATACGCCCGGCTTCAGAGGCTCCTTCCATGCCTGTGTTGACTACAAGTTTGTGAGCCTCTGCCTCAGCACTCGCACAGCTGAGACTACGGTCATGCATCATCAGGCCTGGCTCTTTCCTAAGGCGGCCCAGAAACTGAACGCAGGCCTACTAGGCCTCAGCCTCCCAGAGAAGCGCCTGGCACATATCATTCGCCAGGCCTAGACTCATCGTTTGAGTCTCTTCCCACTCTGTTTTCTCGCT